TAATGACCAGTACTGCGCTGCCCGCATCCAGGTCCTTCCTGTGACCTTTACCAGATCGTCGGTTCACCTAGTGGGAGGCCTGCCCACGCTAACTCTTCCGGCCCAATTTCGTTAGTTCTGGGGGCCTAGTGTGATTAGTGTGAGTTTACTCACGCTAGGCCACTCACTAAGCTCACTAGTGAGCGCGTAAAAAAAATACATTAAAATGTATGACGGATTGTACAGCGCCTCTAGCGGAAACGTTCAAGAACTAAAATTTTCAAAATATTTTTTAACGTGCTCACTACCTACTTAGGCTCACTAGTGAGGACATTTGATGTAGTTTACATCAAATCATCATCATCAATCATCACTCAGCCCACTGAGCGAAGCCAAATTAGGTACTCCGAAGAAACAATTATTCAGCACATTATGGAAACATCCGAAAGCTTAATTTGAATTTATGAAGATACAGATTTATTAGCGCTAGAGTTCGACTCACAACAGTGTGCTTAGTGCGAGTTTGCATTGAACGTCGTCGCTAGCGAGTCAAAAAATTCTATAAAGTTTTTAGTTAGAAAGTATCCGTTAGGGACGCTATGCGTGCAATCCGTCATACATTTAACCTCCTGGGGCCTGGCGTCATATATTTATTACATAAAACAAAAAAATATAAATCAACGCTATCTGTTGAAATTTACCAGAACTTTTACGTTAGTTAGTTAGATGGTGCATCTGTCCATCATTCTTAGCTGTGATTGGCTAGTGAAGTGACATTTATATTTTTTTATCTTTAATTGAACTAGCGACGGCGCCGCGACCGGGAACAAGTGGTTAGTAATAATGAAATTTTTACTAAAATATGAACGATTTCTATAAGCCTTTGTTATTATTTGTTTTGGGATTTGAACTGTTTTATTATCTGAGTATCACTGATTGTGGAAATACGTGTTAAAACTACGAAAACCATGGTGAAATCTGAATGTCATACAGGTATTACATGAGGTCCCAATTACTAGTGTAAACTGACAGAGCCCAGTGTAATACCTGTATGACATTATACATTTTCTATTAAATAGCATACAATCTGATATATCTTCTTGACTTTATCTATTCTTGGTTTCATGTAACTTACGTTACTCTATAAGAATACGAACAAAGTAAGAAACTTCTACACTCCCACACTATCACACACGTTACACCTTACACCTCACACCACCCACCACACAACTCTCACTCACCACACTCCACACGTTTAAATTATGTCTTTTCTAACATAATCAGTAAGAAAATAAACCTTATATTGCATTAATTCTTGTATTGCCATGTTAGTTTAGTTTAGAAGCATTCTTTCTATTGTGTTATTTTCGGTTTAAGAGGTGGAGACCTGGTGTCTTGTATTACAGGTTGTCTCAACCCATATCAAGCACCAGTCTTCACAATAAGTAATATTGTTTAAAAAATGCGTTTTATTGTTAGTACATGTAATTGGAAACTTACTTGTGAAGAAATTAATAAAGATTTATTTATTTATTTATTTATTTATTTATCCATTATGTAACATTTTGTGACAAATTCTATTTTATCTTGTAATCATTATTGTGATTTATTTACGACTATGTGTGTACTCAGTGGACTTTGATATTATTCCATCCTGTTATCATATCTCCCTCCACTATCAGATATGGAATTTGTACCTACTTACATAACAGTAAAACATATTTATCAATAGATGGTACAAAGATTAAATTTTTTTATTAAACAAAAGGCTTTCGAATTATATGTTTAAAAATTAAAATAAAAGAGCACGGTGCCATTAAATTAGAATTTGTCTATTGCTAATCGATCCTATCCTTATAGGATCACTTTGTTGAGGTACGGAACCCTAAAGGACCAGGGTCGTGATGACACGACATCGTCTGCTGAATTTATACCTTTAATTAATTATTATTAATCAAGTGCAAATTCCTAATATTATTTTTAGTAAGCAGTAGTTGTAGGACTCGAATAATTTTATGCTGAAATTTCAATTAAAATCATACAATTTTTGTAATACTTATGTATATTATAATTTAATATACTTTCTTCCTTTCTACGAATCGGAGCAGTATTCCATCGATGATGCTCTGCACGACGTCAAACTTGGGCTCCACGGGGGGGTCCACGGGGTGCGACTCGGGCGCCGGCTCCACGCTGAACCGGGACAAGATGGCCGCCATACCGGCCAGAGACTGCATGAAACCTAAGCGTTCTCCTGCAACGAAAATTATACAAAATCAGATCAGCCATCGGGGGAAGGAAGAAGGCTCTCACTGTCATAAGTTAATAAAATGTATCTATTTAAATGCAACATTAATGTTAATTGTTTCCTGAATACGGTTAACTACTAATTAATAGGTGTAACTATGTTTGTTAAATAAAAATAAACATACTAATACAGGCTCGTGGTCCATCACCAAACGGTAAATATGTGAACTTATTCACCAATTTATTTTTAGGGTCAAATCTTTCATCTAAACTCAGTCGGATTATCGAAGTACTGAGGGTCAGTTTGCAAAGCTTGCAAGGGGATCGCAATCATTACACCTTCATCTATAGTCATGTTCAGATCAGGAAAGGTATACTTCCTACTACATCTTCGTGACAAGAATCCCAGTGATGGAAATTTTCTCATACCTTCTCTGAAAGTCCAGTCAAGATAAGTCATGTCTTTCACAGCTTCATAGGACAGCTTGTTATCATGTTTGCTAAGCACTGCGTCTATGTCGGCTTGGACTTTACTTTGAACTTCAGGATAGTATGCAAGCTGATGTAAGGTGTAGCTAGTAGCCGATGAGGACGTCTCGAAGCCAGCGGCAAAGAACACAAACACCTGAGCGGCAATCAGCAAGTCGTCCAACTCCAAAGTCGCGTAGTCCGGGCTACCATCAGGTTTCACTTTCTCTAATGACTCTTATGCCTTTCTTCTTACATTCTAATAACAGGTCAATAAAATCATTTCTATTTGAAGGCTGGTAATTCCTTTGTTTCTGGATATCATTTACTAGTGTAATTATTTGATTCTCTAAATGATCCAAAAACTTTAGTTGTCTTGTTAAACGTGGAAAATTGTCTTTTAGAACAGTGACGACAATTTGGCGAAGATCGAATTTGAAGATGTCAGCGCCTAGTTTTCTAAAAGCAGATTCTTCTTCGTTGAGGGAGCCGGCATCAAGGCCAAAGCCGCAGGCGCCGATGAAGTCGGTGGTGTAGCGCGCCATGAGGTCGCGCGCGTCGATGGCTTTGCCTTTGCGAGCGGCGTCCAGCGCCCGCGCCTGCAGCTGCTCTGCGCGCTCCACTATCAGCGGGAACATCGCCTTCAACTTGCCGCTCGTGAACGCAGGGGTCATGCGGTGCCTTAACAAACGCCACAAATATTCTCCTTCGGCGAAAAACAAATTGCTTAGGATCGGCTCTATACCCATTTTATTAGGATGGATTCCGCGCTCATAGAAATGTACAAAATCAGTCATTAGAATACGTTTAACTAGCTCCGGATCCCTGATCAGTAAGCCTGGGTTACTAGTTCTGAAATATCCAACGACTTTCTCTTCTGGATACTTTTTGTATTGCTCCATGAAACCTTAGGTGGCATTTTTTCGTTTTAGAAATGTCGGGCCCATGGTCCCGAAAAATATTGTAGGCTTCTCATATTTTATGCCTAGTTTTTTCCAATAGTTAGTTAAAAGTTCTTGTGTTATAAAGATAAAGTGTACCTAACGATGACAATCAATACTATAATTATGGTAATCATGGTGATGTTTTAACACGACTAAATCCGAATAAAAATAAGTTAACTAAAGCGACGTACCTACCTATGTGCTGTGATAACTGTACTTCAATTAAATAATATTTCATGCGACTCATGATTATGAAGGCAATCTTTATCAAAGTCTAATCTTTTTGATAAACCGTTTAATTCCGGTCTCTCTACAACAGATTGGTATTATCACTATTTTTCTCGTGTACCCCCTGTTTCTAAATTTATTTCTAGCTTGAATCAAAGACACGACAGTACCGTTTTGTTCAATTCTCAACTTAGTAGATTTGAAAGTCTCCACTTAGATATCAGAACAGCAATTTAACTAGCTGATGCTCAAAAAACCCTGACATGAATTGAACTCTCAAAAGTAGTACTTAAAAGCCACTTAAAAGTTTAAAATTAAGCTACTTTTCAGTATTTGAAATACTTATTTAGTAACGTTCTGGACCACCATTATTGCTAATGAACATAGGCGGAACAAAGTTCACCGGGTCAGCTAGTTTATCTATATTTTGTGTTGATGTTGACTGTTTATTCCAGTGGACTTTGATATTATTCGATTATCATTATCACTGTAATCGGTAGATATTTAACTAATACAGGAAAATATTATGTTGTTATCAAAAGATGAGTCAGAAATGCAGCAATCAATGACTTTCTGCACAAAGTTCAACTTAGTATCTACAGAGGCAAAGATTATATAATAAAAAAAATATTGATTAAATAAAAGCTTCTAGCTGTATGTTCACTCGTGGTCTAAATTAAATAAATATTTTTAATTTTGATTTTGATTGATTTTGATTTTTTGGAAGAAATTTTTATTCATTGTACATACCTACCTATCTTGTGTCATCGCTAAAGTGGCTAGAAAACTGTTACATTTCACACTTTTATAGTAGCCCGCATAAGCCATGATATTGCGATTGTTGTTGTCATGTTATCAGCAAGGTTAGTGCATTAGGTATAAGTAGGTATGACATTGAAACAAATAAGCTTATCATGCCAATGAAAGTTTTTGAAAGTGAATCCATCAATGGACAAAATGTATTGAAACATTAATAACTTTATACTTTGAAATATTAATAGTTAATCGATTACTGTGCCCTTACAAAGTATTATTGGGGTGAAATAAGATGATTCATCAGATATTTTAAACATTTTATTCAATAAATACTTAAACGAATTAACAATTAATTACAAACTTAAAATTCAGACAGGTTTCTAAATATTTTGATAGGATCTATTTCTTTTACTACATATCAACGTTGTCTAAAGATTAAAGTAGTCAACTATAGTGGTTGGTAGGCGTCGTACTTATTGTAGTTGACTACACTAATAAAGCTAATTTAAACATTTTGAGCATCAATATGACAATAATAGGAATATATTAGTTACATACAAATTCATGTGTGATAATCATATTTTTAACGTCATGTTGAATTATTTTCATATTCATCTATATCGTACATAAACCTAACCATAGGAGTAAAATCCATGACCAGCGCCATGGCCTCCGATGTAGAGTCCGTTCCCAAAACCGCCATAGAACGACCTAAATCTGTTTATTGGTTCTTCCTCATCCGCGTCCTTCTTCTCCATGGAAGCCCTATAATGGCTTAGCTTTTGATCAACATGATGCACATCTCTATGCAATGGTATGACCGTCAAATCATGCAACGGGACCAGGTGTGTATGTATCGGTATCAAAATTGGTATCAATTGTGTGGGATGAGTTGCGTTTGAGCTACCATGTGAATACGAATGTGAAACGATAGGCACATTATTGTTTGAAATTATGTGGTTGATGCCAGCATGTATAGAGTTCTGATGAAAATTGGAGTGTATCGGTATGACATGCAAAGTCGTTGGCGCCAGAAGATGGTGGTGAATTAGAGGGAAGTTCGGGCCTTTCTTCTTTCTGACGTTTGTCAGTTTCGGCTCTACGAACGTCACGTGATGGGGCTGGACCACAGGAACTAGTATTGGGAGTTTCTCATTATTATGACTTGGGATTGCATTCGGTGGGTTGCTATGGTCGATCTTGAAGGTTTGTGTTTGCTTCTCATTGGGGCTTAGAGGCACGTTGATAACTAATTGCAAATGCGCAATTAACAGCAAAACTATCAGTCTTGACATTATCTGCAAGGAAAAACACAAGTGTTTAAATAACGCACAATCTTATCATTATTGATTAGTTTGGTTATAACTAGGTGGTGTGGACTTTAGTATATTGATTTAATTTGCTATCTAAGTCTTATCTTCAGTACCTATCGATTTCTGATTAAATATTTTGCAAACAGTTTTATTATTAGTACCTACTTATCTTTACTCATAATAAAACTTGGCTTAACTAAAAATGAGACACTGATTAGTTCCAGGAATGTTATCAGTATGTTCTTAGGTTTGGTTTGTTGAATGTAGGTAACTATAAAATTGTCGAAGTCCATTGTTGGGAACGAGGGTAGGGATTAGTCCTTATTGAAATAATACCATAATTATCTTCCATCTCGGTAGACTGGTAAACAAATAAAAATATACTTAGAGACAACGATTTATAGCGTGTGAAGTTGCGGGCACGACTGTCAATGGACAATAATATTTATTTATAATGTTTTGGATAAGAACTAAATCAACTTTGAACCTACCTACTTGAGTTCTTAAGTTGTTCTTACTGTTTTGTTATAAATAAAACAATTAATAGATATTTATTACCTTGGATGAGATGAGAGAGAAAGAGATGGTTGAGTTGCACCATCTTACTTTAACTTTGACAAACGCGTGTCAAAAACCTGTCAAACTCCATACAAAAGACACCGGTTATCGTTAGAGTTACGGTCAAAGTTAGGTGGTGCAACTCAGCCTAAGTATTGAATACAATTTGCCCCATAAATAAGTACTAGACGAAATAATTAACCTGTCTCACACATGCAGATAAATTGGGAGTAAGTAATTAGACTTCGTTTTTGTTGCGGCAGTTGATGTAATTTGCTTTTATTAATACAAACGAGCTGTGATTATTTTAATGGGACTAACTAGCTTAATATTTCTTACAGATATAGTGTATTTAATGGTCAGGCTAGACGCCATTATCTGTGTAATGTGACGTCAGAACGTTGTCCTAAATTATTTATGTGTAGTAATATTTCTGTAGTCTACTGGTTACAGCATTTTACTTTCTTGTCTGTATATTCTGACTTTGATTCCCAGCTGGAGCATGAATTTCAAACATTGTGATTTTCAAGTACATACATACAATAATTTGAATAGGGCAAATAATGAACCTGGAAGAAGGAATGCTAGGCTAAATTTTTTGCCCAAAATGAACTTGAAGGTTTTATAATATTTTTTGGATATAGGCATCGCGAAGAGATCGCAATTGTCCTTACCCAAAAAATAAGGATTAGTCTTGTCTCGAACAGAAGTTCCTTGTAAATCGTAGGTAAATAATAACTCAAAGATCTATGGAAAAACCGATGAGTCGTCGTAGTAAGCATTTACATTATTTATGATCCAGCCCTTTGGTAGTCAGGGGTCCCTGTACCTTTGTAGATTAAATTACCATTTCCCTAACATTTGGTTAGGCCTTTTAACAGCCAGCACAGGAAAAATATAGAATAAATTGTGTATTTATCATTATAATGAACTACTTATTTGATTTATTACTTATCAAAATAGTTATCGATACACACTTGGATACAATAGCGATTGATTCGCTATCAGCTTGAATCAGACAAGAGATTTGGAATCGTTATCAAGTGTAATTGTTATGATCAAAGGTCAAACATGACATTACTGCGTACTTTATTGTCCTTTATTTGTAAACAAGCATTTTTCTGCCGGATATTTTTGAATCATCATCATCAAGTCATTTGTTCTCCACTGCTCTAAATTACTAATGCAAATTGAGTTTTTGGTCGTTTGAATTAAAACTAAAGTTACATACTTATACGAGTAATTTGTGCCATTTCTAATAGGAATGGAAATCTATATTATAAAATTTTTATTTGTTTTTTTTGCCTGGCATTAAATATCAAGATCTAATAGATATTAGATACAATACAATACAATTTCAAAGAACTGGCAGCTTTTCTACTTCATCAAAATGCAAGAAATCTGTAAATTAAACTTAAACGCACTAAAGAAAGTGCAAAGTCGTGTATAAGTTAATTTTAAAACTTTCACACTTACACCATTCTATTTTGATTTATTTTCGCAACAATATATCACCTCTGTTCACCGTTCGGTGTCATTGCCTGTAATTAATATTAGCATAAATAATAATGGATCGGGCAAACAGGTTGCGAACGGCTTTGGCGCTCTACTTTACAATTCGACGGTCGAAAAGCAAGGACGTTCTTTGATACCGATATTAAAAGATATCGATTTTACAATTTTGGTGTATGCGGAATGCAGTACCTTTAGGGACACGCTGCATCCATTCGAGCATCAAGGTTGAGGTCATACTATTAACTGTAGTAACGGACTGTAAAGTCGATTCTTAAAGTTTCGAACACTTATTAAGTTTTGTAGCGTACATACTTAAACTTTTCTTTGGGATAAACTTTGTCTTCACTCTCAGTTTTAGCACAGGTTTTAGTTAACTAAAAAGCTCAAATTTTTAAAAGACTTTAGTAAAGGCTAATGTTAAGTTCTAATCATAATAAAACGTATCTCTGATTTTAGTTTTGGTAATATGGTATCAAACAATGTAAATAAATAAAATTAAAGTACGCAGTAGTTTAGGTAACATACGAGTACGAGTATATTCATAGGAAAAACAAACATTGAAAAACATATTTTATTGAACTCTGCTAGTCCTGGTGACACACATATTTTTTTAATTTAAAGCCAATGTACCAAATTCAATTTAGTTTGTATGAAAAATTGGACGTGGAATACCTATGCGCGCAAAAGTATTTTTTTCAAACAGAATAATACTTTTATTTAGAGGTAGGCTGACTTTTATGTATTAAAATTGGTCGATATCACTGTCAGCAACCAAATACATTATTACATACATCGTGACTGCTATTTGGTAATAGGGTAATAGTTAACCATTAAACACTCTATATTGAATTCCTACCCTCATCAAAGTTTCTCAGTTCCAGTTAATCCGATCAGAGGTATTAAATGCTTGATTACCATCTAGGTATACTGGGTAATACCCAGGTATTGCAAGGATTCCAGGTGGGTTTGATTACTTGGTCAATTTGCGGTCGCATGCAATTCGGGTATGTGTGAGATAGGCAGTTTAGGTAAATGATAATTGGATTTTAGGCTGTACCTATTTGTAAATATATGTAAGTAGATATATGTTTAACAGATAGCTCCATTATGTGTGATGTGTATTCGACGGGTGCAAGGTTTGTTATTAACTATAAATATAACAGTAGTTAGGTTCGACTCCCGGTGGTAACAAGTGTTTGGTGTAATGTCCACACAAAAAAATGCGGTAGAAAATGCGAACTTAATGCCGTGTGGCATTATCTACCAGTTAACCTTTAAGCTAAACAGAGAATTTGAGTAGGCGGTGCAAAATAGTAACTATACAAATAGAAAAAAAAAAACATGATGATGATGATACATAAACATTTCCACTCTCTCTCAAAAAAAAAAAAAACCTATTTAAGAAAGTCAACATCTACATTTATCTCTAATTATCTGGTAATAAACTACCAGACTAAAAAAAAAAATACTACTTATACTAATACATACATACATTAATAATATAAAGTGGACGACGAGAGGGGTTAAGGGAGTATGATACTCGTACTATTTAAAAATATTATGTAATTACGAGTAAGTAGGATTTAATCACAAGTATTGTGCCTTAAGTCCATAGGTTAATCCTGAGATTATAATTTGCGAATGATAACGATTGTACAAAAATGTACGGATTATCGAAATTACAAAGGTTAGTGCGTAATTTGTTTTTAAGATAAGGTTTTATTTTCATCCGCGACGAATTTTATGGCTGCCTTTAATATCGGATCGAAATTGAATCAATTTTAAGTATGTATTTAAGTCCTTAATAGGGCCTCCTACATAAATTCGACAGGCATTGATCTATTTTCATTTTAACGATTTAATCAAGTGCTTAATAGAACCTTATTAGATGTAAACAATACATAAAGATAGAAATGCTCGTAAAATTAACTTACTAAAAACGCAACGGAAAGTACAATACCCATTTAATATCTATATATATAAAAGAAAGTCGTGTTAGTTACTCCACTTATAACTCAAGAACGGCTGAACCGATTTAGCTGAAAATTGTCAGGGAGGTAGTATAGAGCCAGGAGAAGGACATAGGATACTTTTTATACCGTTCGAAATTAAAAAAAAAAGTCTGCTTATTTATTGCCATTAAGGCGGAACAAAGTTCGCCGGGTCAGCTAGTTGTTTAATAAGATTAGCTGCAGTGCCCGCAATTTTGACCGTACGAAAATCGTTTTCAGTAAATTGACCTGTCAACCATGTTTTCTAATTTATAAAAGACTGTAATCTGGTAGGGGTAAAGTCTCATGTCCATTAATCTCGTAAATTAGCTATACATTTTTGGATTGACATGCATTTGTACCGTCAACAGCTCATCAGACTACACATTAATGTTGCAATAAGTATTTGCAAATAACTAAATGAAGTTTTAGTGTTTACCTCGATGTACCTAACTGTAGTCGGCACATAGTAACTACTCTTAGTAGTGATGGGAGTCCACGACAATAGTAACTGGCAATCTTGCAAACAAATTTAATACCGAATGGTCTATGTGCCCAGAGGACATTAAGAAACCTATTGCTGATTGCGAAGTGAAGTTTATACTTAATGTTCATAACACTGACTCAATTTATTATCTGACTTTATTTATTTTATTGCCAAATGCTACCGACTTTATGAATGACTGTAGAGTCCGCGCTAATTATCACTCACCGTTGAAAAGTGCACCTTCAAAACAATGACACTTCTTGATAACAGAAAAATATTTTAGTTAAAACTGTCACATTCTTAAAATATCTGGCGGTGCACCCGGCTCACGCGCGCGGCGTCTGCGGTTTGACTCCGACCGGGTGCCGGCCACCTTGGTGGGGCTACAACTCTTGAGGATACAAATTTATATTGTATCGACCCGCTGGACATTTATCACTGATTCTAACTGGTTCCAGTTAACGGATAGCCCACTGCAGCTTAAGCCGTTGTATCCGAAATTATCGAAAAGATAGATTGGGCGATAATTTGTCTTTTTATTTTTGGGCTACATTCCACTTTTGTTGCCAATTCTGGGTCAGCTTTTAACAGATTTTCAAAATGGTGTCAGTGTTATCGAAATTATTGATACCATCTACTACCTTCACAATGCCATGACCGTGAAAATGAAGGATCTAAAAGTAAAAACATTTTGTCAAATCTACATCTATCTAATGAAAACCAAACATAACATCCAGCAAGGGAAGGTCACCGATATTTAATTTTGTTTTTAAGCCTTCATTCAAATCGATTCTACTTTCAAATGGATTGATCGATCACTTCACCGCGCAATCGGCACTTGCTATTACATATTTCACAACAATCATTATTTTGCTGTGTGGGTCACAATTTTTGTATTTTTTGGGCCTAACTCACTCCTAGATTAGAGCAACTAGGTACTAAGACCAGTCTAATACTTAAATGCAAATGTCACAAGCTTAGTTGAGAAGGAAATTACTAGATTTAGCATTAAAATATGCTGTTTGTATGTTAAGTATTTGACGAAAACCTACATTTTACCGGTCTTTTTTGACGATGGGTTCAAAGATGCCGCCAGAGATTTGGTATGTAAAGCAAATAGGTAACATAGTGATAGAAAACTACTTAACGTGCGTATATACAGTAGATGCTTAACAAATGTTAAGGTAAATAAAAAGCTAAAGAAAATATGCACAAACAACTGAATATGATTCAATTGTACGTATATGCATCCATCAGTTTTGGCATAAATCGTAGAGATTGTTAAACTTCGACTTTGATGACTGACGATCATCAAGGCAAGGCTTATAAAACTTGACATTCGCCGTTATTCTACACAATAGAGGAAGAGCAAGACTAACTGCGTATTTTGTTTACCTTTATTAATATACCAAACTGTTGTTTTCCGACGCACTTAGTGGCCTCACTAGAGCTGGCGACGTGTTGGGGAAAGGCCGATATCGGTTGTCCTTCAGGTCGAATTGGTACTCGATTTGGGTATAAATTCACTTCCATAGTACGTGCATATATTTGGATAGACGAGTGTGGAGTCAAAATTGTTTGAGCTAGTTAAAATATAGGATGAACTCTTTCTGTAATCACAACAATTTAAAAGAAATTAACTTGAAAAAACCTATTATTATTATTGAATTTGAATTTGAAAAAAATACTACTACAAATTAGCTCTTAGCCAATCTATTTACACTGATAATAACTTCAAAATAAAATGGTCTCCAAAGCCAATTCGATACAGAAAACACATAAAAAATTACTCATGTGCTGAAAATATCTGTGCAGAAAACTTCCGCCATTTTCTCTTTCAACTTTTAACCTCGATAATAAAACGTCAGTCGTCAATCCACCGAGCACTCCCGCATCCAAACAGACGGGCGATTGTTTTTATCTTGTCCGACGCATTTATTGCAGTGCGCCTCAGTTTCATTTCCGCTCTTTTTTGCAGTCGGCCGATGAAAATTTTATCTCCGCCTGTACTACGGGTTGATACGTCAGTCGGAAGCGGCGACTGGCGCTATGTTGTCATGTTTCCATATTAATTGACATCGATTTTCTGTTACAAAACGTAACACAGCTACGTCAACATAAATATGAGATGGGTAGTTTGAAATTGGTGTACTTTTTTTTGCCAAGCTTGGGAATTAATTATGAAAATATTTGTCTGAACTGTTAATTAAAATCATGAATGTTCTCCGTTGTTTTTCTTTGCCCACAGGTAATAATGTATGCATGTCATGTCATCATGTCCATCTTGGAATAGAAGGTGTTGTAGAAGACGAGTTAAACATAAATTTAATTTTGGAATAAAGCCAATTTTGGACTGCGATCGCAAATTTTTAATCTGATGATGCACAGAACTCTCCTTTAGGTGATTGTAACTCTCACTTGACTTTAACAATTAAGAAATCAATAAGCGATCTCTATTCCTCAGTATCTATTGCATTACGGCTCGTAGTTTCATATCCGGCCGTATTTGCATTCGCACTCTACCGATGAAAATTTCATCCGGTGTTATTCGATTCCTCAGTTCAACGTGAGTGCAGAATAGTAATGCATTTCCCTCCATACCTTTGGTATATCAGAAGAGAGCATTTTCCTATTTGAAATATTTTGTAATATTTTTCTCCTTTAAAGTTTTCTCAACGTTCTGCGTGAATGTACTCGTAAATACGGATAATATTGGACCTTATACATCACTGAAAAATGCTAAAATATTTTCACCAAAATAGCAACGAATTTCTTAAAATTTGATTGTCATTAGAAGTAAAACCAAGCCTGTTTAAGCATGCTCGCTGAAACCTTTCTATGTTAAATACTTTTTAGACGCTACTATCGCTAACCTTGTTAAGTAGAGTGGTAGATTTTCCTCACTGAAGGCTTTTTGCTTTCGAGGTAGTAAAAAGAATGAAGGATTAAGATATCATTTTCTTGTGCTCTTCCATTATGTAAATGAATGCTGACCATTTTAGTAAAAAGATTAAAATTTTTCAGTTTTCTAAAATACACTTAGGCAGTGGCGGATTTACGGTTTTGCCGCCCGTAGGCTAGGGTGGGATTGGATCTTTATTTAACTTTTATCTTCTGAAATCGAGTAAGCTGTACGGCCTATTGACAGATACAGGACAGCTTGTAGGTTTACTTATTTTAAGGTTTTGCCAAATGTAATGCGTATTTAGCATGCGCAAAGCGTTAGCCGTGTCGTGTTGTGTTGATTTGGTAGAATATGGATAATTTCATGTCAAACACTACATGCACACATACACACTTCATGTCGGCACTAGCAGTACGCAACGCTTTGCAACTCTATAAGCGCGGAGACGCGTTCTATTTGGCGAAGCCTTTAAATTACAGTAATGGCCTCTATTATTATTTATTGAATATCTCTAAAAGCTGTCGCACAATCTGCGAACCTTAAAACCTACTTACCTAGTCCAAAAGCTAATCGGACAAAGAATGGCGAGGTCGACTTTGTTGAAAGGGAGGTCACTTTGATTTACATACGCGTTGAATTAACATAGAGCTGTGTTCACCAAACGTTGCTGCGCCCTTTAGGCCATCCGCTGCGTAGGGCGGTAGATAGCTCGCCTTTTGTTTCTGTCAGCAGAGGGCCTTGTGTGAGTTTACATCAAACGCGCTCACTAGTGAGCGCGTCAAAAAATGACAAATGTATGACGGATTGTACAGCGCCCCTAGCGGGAAACTTTCAAAGACTAAAATTTTCATACATTTTTTAAACGTACTCACTAGTTTTATGTAAACTCACAATCAGCCCACAGTATACATACGAGGGCGGCACTGAAAATTTCGGGAATCAAGGAAGTGAAACAACATTACTATTTAAAAATGTATTTATTGCTTTTTAAAGTATTCTCCGCGAACTTTGACACATTTTTCCATACACGAAACCAATCATTGAAGCAACCATTGCATTCGGAAGTTTGGGTCTCCAAAATGGCCGTTTTGTAGGCTTCCACAGCTTCTTCAGGTGATGAAAATCTCTGACCACGCAATTTATTCTTAATTTTAGGGAAAGTATAGAAATCATTAGGGCTTAGGTCGGGGCTGTACGGCGGATGGACTAATAATCCTATGTTTTCTTGCTCTAAAAACTCTTTTGTTCAGTGCGCGGTGTGAGAACTCGCATTGTCGTGATGGAGGATGATGCGGCGGTTGCAGTTCTCTTTACGGAGTTCAGAAACGACCTGTGGCAAACAAATGCTAGCATACTAATCTGCATTAACCGTTCTTTGTCCCCCAAGAGGAATAGTCGCAACATGGCCGGTTTTGGAGACAAACGTGGCCACCATTTTTTTTGCAACACTCCGTGAACGAACAATTTTTGTTGGCTTTAATTCATTTTCGAACACCCAAACTCGTGACTGGTTTTTTGTTTCGGGTTCGTACGCGTATATCCATGATTCGTCACCTGATACGATGTTGTATACAGCATTTGAGGATCCTGCATGTAATCTCCCGAGAGTTCTGACGCACCAAGTAACGCGAGCCGCTTTTTGATCTTCACAGAGCGAATGCGGTATCCATCGGGAAAACAACTTTTTTACACCTAATTGTTCATGCAAGATTATTTGTATTTGACTCATGCCAATGTCTAAAGTTGCCTGAATTTCGCGGTATATCACATGTCGATCTTCTTCAATCAGCTTACGCACAGCATCAACGTTTTCTTAGGTGACTGCAGTTTTTGGACGACCTTGACGGGGATCATCACTGAGCTTGACACGTCCACGTTGAAATTCAATAAACCAGCGATAAATTGTGGTTTTGGATGGGGCTTCATTACCAAATGCAGAAATCATCCGGTCAACACACTGTTTTTGTGTTAAACCACTTCAAAAGTCATAATAAATCATCGCTCGTGAATTTTCTCGAGTCAATTCCATTTTCTCAACGACTAAACAAGTTTGACAAGACCTTGTGATACGACCGAGAATCTTTTTTTAAATAAATAAATGGTATACGATTTTTAAAACCCTGGAGTTTGCAATTAAATAGATTTTAATATGACTGGAACAGTGGAAATATTCCATTCCCGATACTTTTAGTGCAGCCCTCGTATCACAGGTTGCAGGTTCACTTGGGGTAACTGACAAGATACGTGAATTGAGTTAAATATACAATTTTTCTTAGTTTTTTCTGCTCTTTCGAATGGTATAATACATATTTTATGTAAAAAAATCTAGCTTTAAATAACATGGCCATTTTAACGGCAGGTGCCCGCCGCGTTTTCACGCTCGATGCAGAGGTTACTTTAGGGTAGGGACGGACCTTTAGATTGGGAAAGTCTGCGAGAAACAAGCGAAAGCGATAGA